TTAATTAAGAAGGCAATTGTAGATATTGGTACTTATCTGTCTTTATTTGTTCTTGTTTATACAAAAACAAATGCCATGTTTTTACTAAATCACACTCCAACCTTCACCTAAAGTAATTGCTCAGATGTGACCTTTTATTTGCAGAGTAAAAAGCTTTTGATTGAAACCAACCTGCTGTCGTATACAAGCCAACAAAGGGGGCTATTATTATGATTCATCTCTGTTATTGTTTTCATCTTGGGCCTGTTGATGTAGTGCATGTGAATAAACACACTGCTGACTGAAGCCTGGTAGCTCCCTGTCAGATACACAGATTATCAATGAGGAGGAAGTATCTTCTGATTAAAGCTCTGCTGCTGATGAGTGAAACAAAGGAGGGCCGTTTAATGAAACGCTATCAGACCTCTGAGCTTCAGAACAGCTTTGGAATCAGGACTAACTGCCTCCATCTTTTAAGGTGTGTTTGGTGTTATGTTTTAGCTCCTTTCCACAAACTACCTGGGGCTCCTCACACTTCCTCTTACAAAGCAGTGAAATCCAAACTGCAGGTTTATCTAGCCAGCAGCAGCAGCAGCAGCAGCAGAGGCATTATTGAACCCACTCGAGGTGTGCTCGATTTATTGTTGGAGCCGGTAAACACCCACAAACAGCGAGCATTATCTGCCTGTGAGGTAAGACGGATCAAGTGCTCCTCATCTCTTACAGAGCGTAAACCTGCAGGAAGCTCCGTGTAAACCGAGCTGTAGATTAAACAAAGACGGACACCACATGACGTTCATTTTAGACAAATAGCACATCTGCCATTTTGGGGACAATAAGGGGGAAACCTGCCTTCACAGAGTGACTGCTGGAGAACCTGTTCCAGGTTATTTACAGTTTATCAATAATCAATAAGCCTGTTTTAATCTCGGCATTCTAATTCTCAGTGCGCAGGTTTGACATTTTCCTACATTTTAGTGCTGCGGGCTACAATTACTTTCATCATCCGTTGATATGAGAATCATTTTCTCTATTAATTCATTATCAGCTAGAAATGTAAGGCACGTATAGCAGATTTAATAATTTGAATTGATAAACACGTTTGTCTGCCTCTGAAAGACAAAATGGTGGATGTGTCCGTAGTAACAACTCAAAGATATTCAGTTTGCTGTCATAGAAGACAAAGACACGGGAAATATTCAAAGTTAAGAAGCTGGAACCTTTTGTATTTGTGCTTTAATTGATTATATAAATGGTTGCCAATAAATGTTCTGTCGGTAGACTAATCAGTAACACGACTTGTCGTCTCAGCTCTAATATATTTTTGCTTTAAAGGAAAATAAGAAAGGAATATAAACAATATTGACTTTAACAGTAATCTTCAGTATCAGGTGATCAATCTACAGAAGTCGTCCAAGATGGCATTCATCAAATCGTATTCAGTTTACAACGATTATAAACGGAGAGAAGAAGCTTGAACCAGAGAAAGTTGTTTTTGAAATTCTAAACAAATATCACTTATTTTTCAGATAAGAAAGCTAAACAAAACCTTTGCAGATGATGTGATTCGCAACTTTTCTTTCTGATTTATATTCCTGGAAACTGAACATCTTCGGCGTTTGGACTGATTTTTCAAACGAGACATTTGAAGTCGTCCCACTGAGGGTCTGGGAACTATCGACATCTAACATTCTGTCGACCAAACGATTGTTTTCAGCTCTTGATTGTGTTGTGTTCTGTCCAAATGCATAAAGTGAAAGTTCATTCTATTTCCCCGAGCGAAACTAGATGAATGATGTTCACAGAGCCTCGCCCAACTTAGGATTCCACACTTAAGCCTCTGCTGAAGTGAAGCGTGATGAAGGTGCTTTATTAAGTGCTTGTTAAAGAACACATTATAAACCGGCATGCAGCTCAATTCTTACAATTTACAACTCTGAGCTTTTCCCTTGTTGTTTTTCTGATGATGAAATGACACACGGCGGCTAAATGGCCACCTTTTCTGAGCCACATGAAATGAAGGTACAATGAAAATGGAGGTTTAGTCACAGCAGCTGAACACTCCCACTGACTAGCAGATGAAGTGAGTCAAACTGCTGTTCCAGAATCTGTGAAGATACTTCTATACAACAGCTGCACAAGTGTCAGCTCTGAGGGGGAAATATTTGGTTTTAGTCATTTTTGTCCGGTTTGTAAAAGTGGAAGAAGAAACCCACTTCATAAAGAAGTAAATGTATGAAGTTTAATTTAAAGCTTGTTGAACTCTCCGTTGCTTTACTGTGGTGTTGATTGTTGTGATATGATAATGAGGAGATTTTATCAAATTTAATTAAAAGGAGATCTTTAAGAAGAAGTCCAACCTCTGGACCGATGCTGAAACAATAAGCCAATTTTAATTAGTCTCTTGCGAGTATATTAAGCTGCGATAATTTAGATAATTTATTAAACTGTTTAAATCATTTATTACGCAAGAACACCAAACATTTGTATTGGTATGAATTTAATATCCTTCGGTCATGGACTGTTGATCACACAAAACAAGGAACTTGAAGACGTCATCTTGGACTCTTGGAACATTTCTCAGTATTTTCTGGTGTTTTATTGACAAAATGATAAAACAAAATGATCAACAAATTCTGAGAATAATGGATAGATGCAGCCCCACCTTTAAACCTCATAGGTTATGAATAAATAACATCAATGTACGCCATCTTTAACTGCCTGAAACATCACCATGACACACCGAGAAACAGACAACAGTAGTTGCAAGGTTAATGCCGTTGATGCAAACTCAACACTTCCTGTAGCTGTTTCAAAGTAAAAGCCTTCTACCAAAAAAAAAGGATGGTGATTACGGCTTTTACATTGGAGGACTTGCAGGAAGTGGTTAGTTTGTGTCATTCCTGCACGTTAGCTGAAACCTTTAGTTATACAGAGTTACCGCACTGAATACTTGTTCTCATTTGCAGGAGGATTCTGTTTTACAGGGACACACGCACACTTGTTGAAGTACATAATTAAAATATGATAAATGAATGATACCAAGACAAAGATGGCGGTTAAAACATTCATATACAGCTGGTGGTAATGATTGAATGATTTAGGTAAAGTGTAACTAACTTTGTACAGGTACCATTTCACGAATAGTTATTCTTGGTACGGCACTTACTTTAAAGGTTTAATAGCTTAAAAAACAGAAAGCAGGTGGTTTGATGTCCAGTTTATATTATATATACATTTACGTATATACAACGGGTACAGTGATGAGGAGCGTGTGAAGTTGACGTGTGAAATGAAAGCAGTGAGAGTAATAACGGGGCTACAGGACCCTCACCTGAGATCTGACCTGAGAGGAAGTCACATGACTTCCTGCCATAGTGTGCACTTTACCCAGCATACCTAAGCAATTTGATATTTAACCTTTTTGTTTACAACACACACATAAAATATAATCATTAAAAAGAGTGCAGAGATGCATAATCGCTCCAAATGCAGACCTGTGAAAGGTCTCAGTCCTGTTGGGTTTAGTTCTTGACAGACAAAGGAAGGAGAACAGCATGTGTACTATAGTTGGATCCTCTATAATACATCACAGATACTGAATGATTAACTACAGCTGATGATTGACTGCTTTCTGGGAATCACGTGGCCTTCTTGCTGTCCATCCGCCCGAAAGTAAAAGTTAAAAGGCTGAATTATTTCTATTAATTCAACCCTTTAACTCCTCTGTTTATTTACCGAACACACACAAGGGTGCACAGGCATCTCAGATCAGTTTAACAGGAAGTGTGACCACCATGTTGCAGTGGAACTACTGATTACAGGAAGTTGGCTATCTTTATATTTTATTTTGTTCTCATGTTAAGAAGTTGAACAGATGTTATCTGGAAAAGAGTTGCGACATACAGATGATTTAGCTCACACAAGTTTATACATGTCTTAGTTTTCAGTTTTTCCTATCATGTTTTTGATTATTGGCAGTAACACTGGCAGTCAGTTAGTAAGAGCAGGCGCTGCTACATTTTGAATAAAAAGCTGCATCACTTCAGTGATATCTGAACATAATTTGAGTCTCTATCAGGGGTTACAGATGTCTCAACAGTCGCACGAGTTAATTTTTAACATTTCCTCTCCAGGTCTCTTCAATAGACTGTATTACAATATCCTGCTCTGAGTTGCTGTTTATACGTCCTAATATACTGCCTCGCTGCAAGATGGTGCAACTTTATTGTCGGAGGTGTTGATGTCAGAGTTGCTTTCTGCAGAATTTATGGCTTGAACGCACCCCAGAGAATGTAGGGAAGACACCGTGTAGCACACAGCCATTTCAACTGCCGGTTTCCCCTTGTAACGCAGGAAAATGTCAAATTGTAGAAAAGGCTGAATTTTATAACATTGAGAATGTACCACAGCTGAGCGTTTGGAATCCGACCCACAGTCCTTTGCTGCATGTCGTCCTCTCTCCTGACGATCACTATCAAATAAAGGCAAAAAAACTATCTTTAGAAGAAGAATAAGCGAGAATATACCTTAGAATTGGTCTTACGTAACAGCATTGACATTCTGATGTAGATTTCAGTCAGTTTGTCAGTCTGACATTTGATTCATTAAATGAAATTTTAATTTGTTCCAGAGAAACGAGTAACTCGATGTTTTTGGGCTGGATTTGTAATAATTTGTTATTACAAATGTCAAAGTGATTTTGAATAAGACTTTGTTCCATATAACTTAACTCTTTAATAACTTTGACTCTCTGTAGCTTGATTTGAGCAGCTCTACATGTTAGGAATATTCTTTTCCTCATCACAAACTTATTTCCTTTTTTCACTCTGATGTTACTTCATCAGGAAGCTGCGCTGAGATCTGCCTCAACTACAGATGATATTTCTTTCTCTGATATTTGTGGGAGTAACATTCTGGTCTGTGATCGTTCTTAAATACCCTGAGTATACCACAGCCTGTCGAGCCACACGGGGGGCCACTAACTCTTCCTCATCAGTGCTGTCTTGTCTTTCCGTCAGTGGTTGGGTGCCCCCTCCTGCCAGCGAGGCAGCTACGCCTTCTATAAGTCGGTGGGCAGCAGAGCTCAACCCGACGGGCCCGCCCAGGTGTGGAAGCTCGGGGAGTTTTACTTCATCCGCTGTGGACCGCAGGATCCCGTGTGCATCGCAGAGGTGAGATTACCTGCTCGTATGTTAGATTAAAGCTGCTCTAATCTGTGTTATTATCACAGCAACGGCTCACACGACTCTATAATGTCAAAAGGGGTTGCTCTTGTTAATGAACCCACAGAGAATTATCAGCTGACTCTGCAGATCGTGAATAATAGGAAGCTATTGTTATGCATTATCTTGTATTAAAACGATAACATTTAAGCAGCAGAGGCAGAGATATTCTAAATGTTAGTCCCTAGCAGCTGCATGAATACTGGATACTACAGTTCCCACAATGCAACTTGAAAACAGCAGGTCTGATTTTTCACAAAGCTCCTGCAGAGCCACAGAAAACATTATTCAACCGTTTCCACAAAATTGTAAAATGGTTTTGTAGTGCCCCTTTAACTGTTGACTGTGTCTAACTAAATGTACAAATTGAGCCCTAAATGGGTCACGCTGCTGCACTCCTGCCTGCTCACATGGGCTGTAGTGGACTCGTAGTATGTTGTGTTGAGTCTACGTCCCACGGCAAGGCTACATTTAGTCGATTCAGGTTGCGAGCTCAAGAAGCGTTAATGAGATTGTATTTAGGTTGACAGTTTTGTATTGACGGTAAATGATCGTAATGACTGATGGGAAGTCTTTGCTTTAACGCATTTGTTCAAGTGACAAACGCTGGAAGGAGAGAAACCAACAGTTAGAACACACTGTTTAAATGAGCCAACGAAACTGAACTAACAAGTTTGTCTTCTTTACCAAATCAATAAATAAGAATCACTTGACATATGTGGGTCAGTAACAAACAACAGCAAATGGAGTCCCTTTCAGAGCCCGCTACGTTAATCTGCAATTCAAATGTTGTCTGAATAAACACCTTGTTGACTTTGATGTCTAGCAAAGTCCGACTGTAAACATGTAATGCTGTCTGATTAACATACAGCAGCAACACTAGGTACCATTAGATGATATTTGTGGAGGTAGACCCGCTACGGGGATGGTAAAAAACAAAATCAATCCCATGTACTTCAACATACACTTCTACCGCGTGCATATTGTTTTTTGTTTGGAAGTTAAAAAGTTCATAATTGCCTCTGTGATATATGTTTTATATTGCCGTGAAAACATCTCCTTTTAAACAACTGTATTCATTCAAGCTGAATCACATTTGAACACATCATGATGTTACAGTTTACCATCGCCCAAAACTCATTTTTACTGAATAATGTAAATCAATGTCCTGCTGTTAATGCCGGTTATATGCTGGGTAAACTATGACGTGGCAAATTCAAATTGGCCTCATATTAATGTTTTATTAATAATAAATGAATGCATTAATGGGAAAAGAAGCTACGTATGGTATTGACATTGACAAAGATGTCGGCTATTGGCGATTGCTCTGACGATAGTCGAGCCCAGAGATCATCGTCTGTCGTCACGACCATATTTTACATCCAGTGTGAGAGCCAATAGGAATGAAACGAGACTCCAACTTGACGTCCTGTCGTTCAATGCGTATCCACTGTTGGTAATAAAACATGCAGCAATATAATTCAGACTCGAATAACATTTCAAACTGTGCGCAGTTAAAACGCAGCTGTTCTAGTCATGTAGTCAGTTTAGTGTTGTAAACTATCCACTGTTTGTTGGGAGCTCCGTTTTAAAACCAGAATGGAAAGCCAGAAACATCAAAAATACTTTTTCGATGCTATAATGCAGATATATTGCTCTTCATTACTTTTTAAACGTACTTAATCTTTTTCTACCTAATATTTTTGTCCCTGTCAGGAGCCTGTAGTAATGATGACTCGGTGTTTCCAGTGATGTCATTGATCAGTAGTTGTTCGGCAGGTTTTGTTGAGCCAGCTGTGTGACTCTGGAAATGTAAGTTAAACCCAGATATAAAGCTGACGAACCCGACGATCTAGCTCTGTGAAACGAACATCTGATCTCAACCCAAAGACGCGCTTGCATGCTGCCTGTGGTGAGGGCTCAGGGGCCCGTAGTGCTAGCTCTGTTTTAAAGAGGTTACAAGCCAGAAGATGACACGTGGGAATCACAACCGCACACAGACGGCACAATATATAATTGCATCTGTAAATATAACTCATTCTCTTACATTTAAAATTCTAACAATATTTAGCAAAAAGTCTGTTTCCTAACTTAGTATAAGTAAGTATCTCAACTACTCAAAACATAAGGCGACTGAAAATGTCAAAACCATATTTTCAGTTTTGGCGACCAACAGCTGAAGCCTGTCCTTGCTTCTGTACCATCGGAAGTAGTTTTGTCAGCTGAATATTCATCTTTATGTCAGACGCTCTCCTGTTTCCTCATCTCTGTATCCAGGTCTACCCTTAAACCACAACATTATATTTCTTTAAGCTCAGAGCACCGCTGTACTGGAGTAGAGCCTCAGACCCTTGGTCTGGTTTTATCTGTAATTCTTAAAGCAGTGAATGTCAAACGGAGCATATCTGCCTCCCTGACCTCTCCTTCAAGGTGACAAGATATTATAATGTAACACAATAATGTAATCGACCCATAATATGAGGATATCTCTGGGTGTCACAACTTGTAAAGTACACAAGTCTTTCCCAGCGTTGCCTAGCTTTAACAGTCACATAAGTCAAGTTTTGGTTACTATAGATGTCTTCCTGTGAAACTCTTTTATCTTTTGTCAAAAGCTGTCCGTACATTGTGTAACTGGCTGGTTTTCAGTTTGACTGCTTTGCATTTCTGAGCTTAATCAGATCAGATGTGTTTCAGGATGTTCTGTCCTCAGAAGAACTTTAACAAAACTAATTATACATTTTGTTTTTAGTTAAATGCATTTTTTTAAATCACAAGAAATGTGGTTCGGAAGACTCCAGTAATCAAAGCTTTTCAGCCAACTGTGTTTTTAAATGACGTTGTGGTCTTCTTCTTCTCTTCTTCGTGTGCAGGTGACCTTACTGTGGGAGGACCAGACGCGACGCCACCTGCTGGCCAGCGCCAGACTCTACTTCCTGCCTGAGGACACGCCGAAGGGGCGGACCAGGGAACACGGAGAGGTGGGTCAAAGTGTTCATCTCGACATGGACGGATATTTCGGGCACATGTTTATTCTTCCGTTTATTTATATAAATAACTCTGTAGTGCACTGTTTATATTTTTATTACACGCTTGAATTAATTTTCCTTCAACTACACCAAAAATAAACCACACACGTATACAAACTTCTATATAAGGGCATATCCTGCACAGGATATGACATACTTGTCCTTCCCATTTATATCAATGAGGGTGAACTAAAAAGTAAGAAGCTTGTGAATTTTCCCTTTTAAAATAAATGTAGATGAGTAAAAAGTCCAATATTTGCTTTTGAAGTGGAGTAGAAGTATAAAGTACTTATGTAAATGTACTGTCCACCACTAAAACCAGAGGATTAGTATTCATAAGTACCACCGTTATTATGAGCATTTATACAAAATGAAGCATGACAAATAGGAGTGATGTCATTCTGCAATTGCTGCGGTCTGTTAATGGGAGTGAACGTCTCCCAAATATTATCTGGGGAATGCTTTAAGAGTGTCTATTAATTATCGTGTCACAGGAACTCTACCTCCTTTCTGTTATCCAATCGTCTTTGGCGAAGCACTTAAACAGGTTTAGTCAAATATTTCTTGTTAATCAGAAACTGATCTTTCCCTTTGTCCTCATGCAAATAGCATTGCTGAGCTCTAAAGAACATCTCGGCTCTCTGTGGTCTGATATTATTTAATGATCTGATTTATATGAATTAAACAAAAACCAGTAGAATGACTTTAAACACAACACTAATAGAGTAAAAAGTATTGCTGCTGATGTTTTTGATTAACACAGTTCACATGCAGGCTGCAGCTCAGCTTTCACATGAAAATCCCCCTTTGGGACTAATGTCTTACCCAAATGTAAATCTTTGTTAATGGCGTGACTGAAACACACATTTCCAACTTGGATATTTCCACTCTTGAAGTCTCTTTATGGATTGTTCTATTTTCCTGGTGGAAAATTGAGCCTTCAGAAAGTGTTTTCACAGGAATCATTTCTTTTGTATGGAGAATTGAAAGTTGTCTTATTTGTGTTATAAAGTTTTATATGAAAGACATCTTTCTTGTCTTGAAAGATTAGTCGGATCAATCAGTGTTTACATACTTATAACATTAAAAGCGTTCATCAACATTACAACATTTTAGAAGAGGAACAACACCTATAATCTGTAATATAATGTATATCTGAAAATCCTTTCAGACGGGTGGATTTTCTTTATGTTTCCCTCTGTTTCCAGTCTTTATGCTAAGCTAAGCTAACTGACTTCTAAATAAGTACCTTTGTCACTTCTACATTAACTTCCACACTACGGCGCAACCCTGGAGTTCTCAAACTAGTGTTGTTAACAATAGTGTTGATGTAGCCTAGAGTTTGAGTATTTGAGCTTTAAAAATGTTTATTCATGACTCCTGCTGAGCCACTTAATGTAAAAACATTTAACTTTGTTCACATGTTAATGAGCTCACATCTGGCACAGAGGAGGTTGAGGTTTTGTTTGGGAGTGTGTGTGTGTGTGTGTGTGTGTGTGTGTGTGTGTGTGTGTGTGTGGGGGGGGGGGGCGCGGTTCTGGGAGGAGACGTCGGCTGCTTCAGCTCCACTTTAGACCACAGACATAAATGAGCTGCAATATGTCTGCATTGTGCCAATATTATCTAAACAGGCGAACATTGTCAGCTGAAATAAAACGTAGATGTAATGGGTTATTTAAAATCACGTGTAAAACATTTTCACTCCTTAAAACCACCTGATTAATCTAATTAAAATGAGCTCCACCTTTACCAGCTGCAACATTAAAGTGATGCATCAATGATTATAATCCAGTAATATTTCTTATTTTTCCTTCATATTAACTCGGCAAACCCTCTGTGTGGTTCTTCAGTAAATATAGACAAATACAGTTTGACTGTTTAGCTCCTAGATTCTCAGTAAATATCTCTCACCGGCTTGTTTGGTTTATACTTCAGATTCAGCGGTCAGATTTCATTTTACACAAAGAAAAAGAGACTAAATTCAAATAGCAAGGAGGAAAGAAGAGAAGAGAGGAAACCGGGGTTACAAAGACCAATTATTTACAGATGAATAAATAGTGATGAGTCCAACATGCATTTCTGTCTCATAAACTTCCTCCTTTATTTTTAAATGCTGCATCACATGCAGTCATGGAACAAGTACTCATATTACTGAAGTATAAGTAACAATACAACACTATAAAAATACTCCATTACATGTCCTGTGTTAGAAATGTGACTTATGTATAGAAGTAATGGCGACATAATGTACTTTAAGTACTAAAGTAAAAGTACTCAGAATGGGCCCCTGTCTGTGTTCTATTACTGGATAATTATTATTGGTTTATTTGTATACATAAGCGATACTTTAATGTTGTGGTTGGTTGAGTTGAAGCTAATTTTACCTCATAGACTGCAGGGGTATTTAATATATAATTAAAATATATAATAACATATAAAATACATGAGAATTACATTAATGTCACATAGACGGGCAGAGTGGCTTTTATCCCCCAAAAGTTAGATTGAGAGATAATATGTGAAACAGTATTAAATCATACTTGGAGACAAATACTCGATGAAGTTCTAATAAACAACCAAAGGCTAAAGTTACCGTCTCGCCTTTTAAAGAGTGCTCTGATGTTTAGATATTTGTCAGCTGTGAAAAGTGTAAACGTTAAATCACTTTCTTTTTTTTTGAATGGTGGAGAAAATGTAAGGTTTAGCTGAAGCTCACTTTCTGCTTTCAGCCACACAGCTGTTTACGTTTCATAATAAATCCTTATTTGGGCAGGTTCAGTCTCATCTCTCTCTCTCACTCTGCAGGTTCTTTTTATGTTCTCACGTAAATGTCAAAGACTTCACCAGCAAACCAATCAAGACTTGGCACACGTTCAACTCTGAATGTTCTCCTTCACATGCGTATGAATGAGCAGGTGAATGTCGAACAGGCGGAGTTTGGGAGGAGCAGAGTAACGAAGTGCTTCCTCAGACAAGAATCTAAGAATCTTTTATTGTTGAACTGTTAAACGCTTCTGCCCCACTTCCAACCCCTTCACATGCGCATAAATCGTCTTTTCCTTCCATTTGCTAACGAACCAAAACCAGATTTACTTTTCTCGCTCAAGTTAAGTTAGTCCATTGTTGTCAGTCCTCATTGTTTGTTTTGTGGCCGGTTCTCCTTCCTCATGCTTTGTTGAGTTGTTGCAACAATCCATGCAGTGTTGCCAAACTGCCTTCTTGACAAGACGTGCTGAAATCTTAATTTAAGATAAACTTTACGAAGTGACGAGTGAAATAAATGCATCAATAGAAAATGTAAAAAGTATGTGAACATCTGTATTGTTAATGTTCTTACCACTTAAATCATGTTTAGTTTCCTCTAAGTAAATATGTAAGCAGGCATTGTTATTTTACACATCAAGTAGTATCAAGCTGGTAATGTTGGCTAAAATCATGCTATTTACCAGAAGATGAAGGCCGACAAGTGATTTTAAGCTGTTAAGTAGATGGTGAAGCCTTTAATTATTAACGCATGTATTAATTTAGGTAGTCGCATGTTTTAGTGTTTTTACTATCTTTAGAATTTCATTCATGATAGAGTATTAGAGTATTTCCCACATTTCAAGAAAACAAAACCACAACATCTCATCCAGAACAGAAGTCTAATCATGGAATGAACCTCTTCTGTGTGTTTTTAGGATGAGGTTCTGGCGGTGTCCAGGAAGATGGTGGTGCGGGTGGAGGACCTGGTGCAATGGGCGTGTGCCGAATCGGCAGGTTGGACCAGCAGCCTGAAGCTGCTGCCCTGCGGGACCAACGGTCTCCACAAGCCTCTACAGAGCAGCGACGGGAACAACAACAACAGCAGCAACAACAACAGCAGCAGCAGCAACAGCAGCAGCAACAACAGCAGCAGCAGCAACAGCAGCAGCAGCAGCAACAACAGCAGCAGCGAGCCGCTCAAAGACAAAACTAAGAGTAAGAAAATTACTGAAACCCACGAATCAAACGCACCCTGAGACCCCACAGTGATTGGTTAATATGTGTGGCAGCAGCTTAATAAGCTAAAGTTGGTGCATGGAGTACAGAAATATTGTTCTCAGTCAATTATTCATTTTAGCAGCTTCTATTTTTCACTTCTTGTAGACGTTTCACAATAGAAGTCGACCAGAAAAGGGAGGGATTATGTCCTTTTGAGCCTTTGGACGGCTTTTAATGTAGAACATCTCTGCAGGATGTTTTAGGTTTCATTGACAGTAGCTTAACAGCTGTTAAAAGAACAGACGAGTACAAAGATGAAAAATAATGACTCAAAAAGTGAAACGCAGAGTGGTGAGTGCTGCACTGATGGAATTAGTGCGCTGAAGATGGACACCATGCTGAACGTAACAACAGAAGTACGTTTGGTTCATGCGTCCCATGTCTTCTCCTCTCAGATGACCTGGTGGAGCATCAGGGCATCAAAGTGCTCAGCTACCCGCAGTACTGCCGCTTCCGCTCTCTGCAGAGACGCATCCAGGACGGAGCGAGGGGGCCGGTGCTGCAGGACCTCCACCTGCTGGCCCTGGGAGGCGTCAAGGCGCTGCCCAACACGCGGCTGATGTACTGCAGGGACACCTTCAACCACCCGACGCTGGAGAGCACCAGCTTCTCCTGGCAGTTCAGTGAGTGTTTTAAGGGAAACCAGTCCACTGAGGGGCGATACCAGAGCAGGACCCATACTGGATCACTGAGGCCGATACTTGACAATATATTTTTTAAAACCTTTTTCCTAAAACGGTTCTCAACAGGCGACAAAAAAGGTTATTTGCCGGCAATACTCTGATACTGGATCAAACTGTTTCTAGGTTTTCTGTCATTTAGTTTGTGGTTTGCTTTCACACAACTTT